GACAACGATTACCTTGAACTGAGTATCCCATGGTGGTAGTGTCTCCCGAACTTGGCGGGACTGGACCGAAATCGGTAAGCCACACGAACAACTCACTGTCGTCAAACTCCACCAATCTGCTCAGAAGTCCTTCAATGAATGGAAGCTCGATGTGCCACGGCGCGTTGATGTGCACACGGCGAATGCGGACGCATCCCTCGGCGTCCCAACGAGACCTCAGCATCTCCACCAAAATTTCTAGATCCAAGTGCGCGAAACCCGATTCTGAGCTCCGAGGATCTCCGGCGTCCAAGGTGAACATCAGGTCGTTCAACTTCGGCAGCGCGGTGGGTGTGTCGTGTTGGACCGAGAGCATAGTGCATAAAGCGTTGATATCGCCGGTGTCGAATATTTTCAGGTCGCGAATGGTGGGGCAGCGTTGTAATGCGGAGAACGAGGTGATAGCGGTAGAATCTAGAGGTGAAAGGAGGGTAACCGATTGAAGATCACAGCCGGAACGAGATACAACATGAGGTAAGGTATTGAGATATCTCGAGTTGAGTCGGATTTTTGTCAACTGCGGCGCAGTGAGGGACGAAGGAAGAGGCATCCCGTCGAGACATAATTTTTGGAGAGCTGGCAATGAGATGTCACCCGTAGCGGTGTCATCTTGCTGCCCGCCCCAGCCTCTGATATCGCACTCGACGACGTTGACGAGCTGTGGAAGAATGCGAGTGAACTCACTCACGGTGCCGAGGTCGCTCTTGAGATACATTAGTGACGCCAAGGGGAAATCGCTCGCAAACCCCTGCATCGATTCGAGACGCCGGAGTTGGGGCACCTCGGCAAACAGCTCCCCATGCAGGGAACCATGAAAACACGAGAGGGATACCAGCCTGTCCACCCTGCCTTTGATGCGATCCATGGCACCGCCAGGAGAAAACCAACTCGACTCAGCCTGAACTGTTTCCCACCGCGGCGAGGAGTCACTCAACGCCTCGACAACTTCGGGAGATATGGGCGAGCCCCACATATACAGGGAACCGAGATCCATGTGGAGCGGGTGATTTGCCGACCGGTGGAGTAGCATCTTCAACCGGCAGAGGAGTACGGAGGGATATGCATCATTTCCCTCGAGCTCGTCGCTCAAGTGATCAATCGAGACCGTAGACCAGAGTTCCGGTAGAGCGAGGGCTATCTTTCTCCACCGGGAGCAGATGCGACCTACAAGCCACGGACTTGAGTCAAAAGAAGCGTTATGCGACATCTTTCCCTTTGAAGGAAGAGTTGAGAGGAATATTTCTCCCAAGATTTCGGGAGGAACTCGTCGAGCAACGGAAATGACGTGCTGATGCCGCAGAATTCTATCTGCTGTGGCATTCCGTTCATTAACGAGGGGTTCTAGGATTTTGCGAAGAGCGGCAATTTGGATGTCGAGATCGAGAAGACGGGACTGCTCGTCGGCGATGATGTCGCGTATTAAGGGGATTTCAGTGTCGGAAGGGAGATCGTTTGACATTAAAGGGGACTTTGAGGTGGATTTGGCTTCCATCTGAATGTTTCGTCAATGGAATTGCCGCTGTGTCCGCGACCAGAGACTATGATTGAGGGCTGCTGGCCAATTGTAGGCGGACGATATCTATTAGTTAGACATTTAGCTCAACCGAGGCTCGCTAGGTAATTCGGCGCTGACCAGGTCGCTTTCTGAAATTAGACTCGATAACTGTGCAGTCAACCTATTAGGTTCAGTCCAAGCCCCGGTCTGACGATGCCGCGCAATGCCGGACACAGAAAACATTCGCAAATAACAACCAAATAGACCACGCGCGCTTTCGTCAGCGAAGGGCCGGCGTGCCGGGCCGGAGCGGCACAGGCTTGCTCCGAACCTACAGTCAACCCTGGGCTGCAACCTCGGGCTTATAGTCCCTTTCATCAGGCTTCCGCTGGAACATCCAGGGTTGACTGCACAGTTATCGAGTCTAATTTCAGAAAGCGACCTGGTCAGCGCCGAATTACCTGAGCGAGCCTCGGTTGAGCTAAATGTCTAACTAATAGATATCGTCCGCCTACAATTGGCCAGCAGTCCTCAATCATCGTCTCTGGTCGCGCGTATTGTAACATTTTTAGACGGCCCTCTTACGCCACAATATGCCGTCTAGGGCCGTTCACTCCCGCCATTTTTTTCATCTTACTTGCCTGTGTCGTAGTATTATTCCTTTCACTGACGTCTCAATGGACCCCTCCCCCAACCACAAGTTGACTCCTGTAAAACGGGGTTATTTGTATACAACACTTACATGTCCCTACTAGTAAAAATAATGAAAGAGCGCCGCCAAACATAACTTTGAACCAGATTGCAGCATATTAATTCCACCGGAGTCTTCTCGAAACTTGTGCCAGTTATATGTCAGAGAACGCTTTTGAGAGTAAAGTGGCAACAACTACCTTGAACGTATCCCATAGCGGTAGTGTCTCCCGAGCTTGGCGGGACTGGACTGAAAGTGGTAAGCCACACGGACAACTCACCATTGTCAAACTCCACCAATCTGCTCAGAAGTCCTTCAATGAATAGAGGCTCGATGTGCCACGGCGCTTCGATGTGCACACGGCGAATGCGGACGCATCCCTCGGCGTCCCAACAAGACCTCAGCATCTCCACCAAAATTTCTAGATTCAAATTCGCGAAGCCCGATTCTGAGGTCCGAGTCGGATCACCGGTGGCCAAGGTGAACATCAGGTCGTTCAACTTCGGCAGCGCGGTGGGTACATCGTGTTGGACCGAGAGCATAGCGCATAAAGCGTTGATATCGCCAGCGCTGTAGATTTTCAGGTCGCAAATGGCGGGGCAGTGCTGTAACGCGGAGAACGAGATGGTAGCGGAAGAAGGTAGAGATGAAAGGAGGGTGACCGATTGAAGATCGCAGCCGGAACGAAATACAACACGGGGCAAAGTATTGAGATATATCGGGTTGAGCCTGATTGCCATTAGCTTCGGCGCGGTGAGGAACGAAGGAAGAGGCATCCTGTCGAGGTATAATTTTTGGAGAGCAGGCAATCTGATGATATCATGAGTAGCGGTCTCATCTTCCTCCTCGCCCCGACCTCGGATATGGCACTCGACGACATTGACGAGGTGTGGAAGAATGCGGGCGAAGTCACTCAAGGTGCTGCCGCACTTGAAGTAAGTTAGCTGCGCCCAGGGAAAATCGCTCGCAAACCGGTGGTTCGATTCGAGACGCCGGAGTTGGGGCGCCTCGGCAAACAGCTCCCCTTGCGGAGAACCATAGGAAAATGAGAGGGATTTCAACCTGTCCAACTTGCCTTTGATGCGCTCCATGGGTCCATCAGGAGAAAACCAATCCGAGACAGCCTGAACTGTTTCCCACCGCGGCGAGGAGTCACTCAACGCCTCGACAACTTCGGGAGATATGGGCGAGCCCCACATATACAGGGAACCGAGATCCATGTGGAGTGGGTGATTTGCCGACCGGTGGAGTAGCATCTTCAACCGGCAGAGGAGTACGGAGGGATATGCATCATTTCCCTCGAGCTCGTCGCTCAAGTGATCAATCGAGACCGTAGACCAGAGTTCCGGTAGAGCGAGGGCTATCTTTCTCCACCGGGAGCAGATGCGACCTACAAGCCACGGACTTGAGTCAAAAGAAGCGTTATGCGACATCTTTCCCTTTGAAGGAAGAGTCGAGAGGAATATTTCTCCCAAGATTTCGGGAGGAACTCGTCGAGCCACGGAAATGACGCTCTGATGCCGCAGAATTTTATCCGCTGTGGCATTCCGTTCATTAACGAGGGGTTCAAGGATTTTGTGAAGAGTGGCAATTTGGATGTCGAGATCGAGAAGACGGGACTGCGCGTCGGCGATGATGTCGCGCATTAGGAGGATTTCAGTGTCGGAAGGGGGATCGTTTGACATCAGAAGGGACTCTAAGGTGGATTTGGCTTCCATCTGAATGCTTCGTCAATGGAATTGCCGCTGTGTCCGCGACAAGAGACTACGATTGAGGGCTGCTGGCCAATTGTAGGCGGACGATATCTATTAGTTAGACATTTAGCTCAACCGAGGCTCGCTAGGTAATTCGGCGCTGACCAGGTCGCTTTCTGAAATTAGACTCGATAACTGTGCAGTCAACCCTGGTTACAGCTGGAAAGAAGGATTGACAGGATGGATTCGACTATGGTCGTGGTCTTGTGGTACGAACTGGCAAACGGACCGATCCGGCAATCAACACAAATATCAGCAAACTTGGAAAGAAAAATAGCTAGACATTAAGTACGCATATTGAGCCGTATTCATTCCCCAGAACTGCAGGCACCCCATTCGTGCATTCGCAAAACCTATAAGAACCAGAGTATGAACTGAGGGAGGAGTTGGCATGGTCCCCCAGATCAATCTAAGTAGATGGCAGCTTGATTCCGTACGTACATCCACAGATCTATCAGGGTAGTCCAAATCATTTCAACCCGTATAGTTTGAGGTTTATTGAAGGACATGTTCCCAAGTCATTATCTGGCACATTTGTTTTGTGAATTTCCCTATATTTGGAATGTAGTAGCCTACCTTACCCATTTTTGCAAGTGCATTTGTAATTTTGCTTGCCGCCTACCAGGTCTCCAATGCCAGAATGAAACCCCGGCATTTTAGCCGGGTTTACAATCACGACGGTCCGACTTCCGAACCTAACTGCTTGTGCACCGTCAAGTGCTTATGACCTTACAGCAACGGGTGGCGGCAAATGTTAGCAAATAATTACAATCATCTGATACGTGCGTCCCAGTCCTTGGAGGTACCAGGCGATTCCCGGCGGACCCTACGGATGGAACGGGTTGAAAAAAATGGACACGTGACTTGTGGTTCAAACTTCAATAAATCGCCAGTAGATTTGCGGTCTGATTTCTCATGAACGCCTCCATTCCTAATCCTCCGTTCAAATGCATGAATTAAAATTTAGCTGTAGGTCGGCTGTTTATTTCTACTTGACTTGAAACATAAGTGTTAGATTGTTGGCTTGGTGGCGGAGTGGTACGTGCCTGTCTCATTTGAGAGTGTAGGGAGAAATTTATACAGGAGATGCCTGTTCGACTCAGGCTCGAGCCATTTCACATTTTTATCATTGATTGATTCATCGGAGAGTCCTCCACCCCCGCTCCTGTAACCTGTTAGCGCCCACGACAGCCGCAATCGTGCAGTAGTATGTCCCTCAAACCTCTCTCGCTTTTTGTTGAGACGGGGGAGGATGGGGGTCAGTCAGCCTGCTTCTACCTTCTGGCTTGAAGGTACCACCCACGTCCACCAAAGTGGATGGGCGTCTCAGATATCGATGCTCCTGGACTCGCCGAGTCGCCTTAGACTCATCCTCCGCAATTACCTCAATTCCGTGCAACTGCTAGCCGCCACCGTCCCACGGAATTCTTAAACCACCACTCCTACGACCTCACAAGAACCAGCGCAAAGCAGTGTAGAGGCCTTACCAACGCATCAATCCGGACCTTTTGCGTATTTATGTACTTATGGCGAGCCACTCTTTTGTTCGACTGTCAATATACGGCTTTGATTTCGAAGAATCGCAGAAAATTGCATTAATATTCATGTACGACACTGCTTCAACCCCTTACGTATAGTAAATACACGATCAGCGACTCGAGAGTTTCGTGCCACAGCAAAGTTGTCGAGTCAAACCATGGACTCGCATTGGTTTTGGTTCCTACAAAATTTCGCACGTATTTGGGCGACGGGCGAGGTGAATCGTGTGAGGGACCAGTTGAAACTGTCCGATGTGGTCCACTGGAAAACCAGGAATGCGACGAAGGCCACGACAGAGAATCCAGCAGCAAATGCAGTGCCGAAGTAATTTGCGAGCATGAAAATGCAATTGGCGAAGAAGACGAGAGTCCCCCAGAGCTGCAAGGTGCGCGGGAGAGCGAAGATCAGGGCCACAAACTGGAACTTGAACGTGGGTGACTGAATTGACTCAAGGTAGTCCGTCTGAATGGAATGTCAGTGATGGAAAAATAATGAACAAGAACAGAATGGTTCTTACAGCTCGTGTAGCATCAATTCCTACCAGTGGCTCGTACCTGTGAATCAGGAGGATGGATCCGAGCAAGCTGGCTCCGAAGAGGGAGGCAGAAGCAGCGGCCAAAGTTGGGTTGGAGGTCAAGGCCAGAAGGAACTGATGCAACCTGGAACGATTGTTAGCTGCTGTGGTTATTCCCGGGGCTCTGGCTTACATCAACGCTGTGAATGCCTATAGAATGTGCATGAGGAACGGTGATGAAGAAGTCCCGGAACTCTCTCACTCTGTGCGATGCTCCTTCCCAATCCCGCAAACAGTCGGTGACCATGGCTTTCCATTGTTCCGCATACACCAAGTGATCAACGAAAACATCGTTTAATCGGACCAGATATCTGTCAGAGGTCTTAAAAGATAACCGAGATGCGACCGTCGTAACCCATTGGTGGCTTATTTCTGGGTCATAAAGAATGGTCTGATCTCTGGACAATCGGGAATACTCTTGTCCGAAGTGGGTCAAGTATCTGTTGCGCACTAATATATGTCAGGTGGCTATTCATCGTGAAACCGAGCTATACTCACTGACCAAACTCCATAACCGGGCTAAAAATGGGTATGATAAGTACGGATCACCCATATCGCGGTCAAGCAACCTACCGACAATGCATGCAATATTGCCATCGGAGATGTGGTCTAATATCACCCGCAAATGAGCTTACTAGTAAACGCGCTTGCGAAATAGGCAAACGAACCTCTGGAATTCTTGAGAAGACTCACAAACCCCTCACATTCCTCTTTTGAGTAAGGGAAGGTCGATACTACGCGAGAAATCATTTGATCTGACCGAGAAATGAGATGGCTGACAATCATGGAGTATGTGATCTATTACCGCAAATGGCGTGCGTGAAGACACAGACGAGGGAGTCCAACGTCTCGAGTGATAGGCCACCGAAGTGCGTAGGAAAGCGCTCGACGTGGCTCCAGTATAATTCCTCGAGGATAATGCCTACCAAGATGGTGTAAATTTAGTGGACGCCCAGGAACCGAGTAACAGCGCAACTGACTGAGGTGAGACGTTGAAACGACTGGGGGGAGGCCGAGGTCATTGGTTTCTGTGTCTATATCTTCGAGCCAGAATTGCGCGTTGGTGGTGTGGTCAACGAGATAATAGGCACAATCTTCATCCTCTATTTTAATGAAGAGCTCAGTTTGATTAGAAATTGCGATCCTTTTGTCGGCAATGCGGTCTTCGATTTTTTGGATCCAGCGGACAGCTTTGTCGAGAACATCCGGATGGTAGAGATATGCTTCCGTTACGACGCGGAATGGGCTATCGCGACAAAAATAAAGTTGTCCTTCGGGGTGAATATGAGCCGACCAATGCAAAGGAAGGTATGCAGGTCTGGATAAATTGTAAGCACCCGTCAGATTTTAAAAGAGACAGTGCGTACTCAGGTAATCGCGAGCGAATAAATGATCCAGTAGAAATTCGCATGCTGCATGGATCTGCACTAAAAGAATTTCAAACTGAGTATAAACAGTCAGGAGAGGTGTGAATAGATTTACAGTCCAGTCCTCTCATAGCGTCGAGTATCGTTCGAGGTGGTTGGGCGCAGAGAACCCTCACGTTTAACGTCGCGGTCATGACTTCCAGAAATAGACTCGTCCAACAAAAGCTTGGCGGAAATCTGGAGAGTCATTGGATCGAATTGTCCAAGCGTCGAAAATGAAGGTGTAAAGGATACCTGCAGTTTATACCGGATCCGCCTGGCTTTTAAACGCAATCATATTAATGGATGCTATACGAATGGGCATAGAGGAGTAGAAGAGAATTTTACCGAAGGCACTGCCCGTCTGGAGCGCGGGAATGCTGTGTGTCCATCCACTTATATTAACCTCCATCGGTGGACAACAGCAATGAACCTGTACATCCTTTGAAATTTGATGTCTAAATGACGGTTGGTTGGGGAAACGGAAGCCGTTGACCAGGCTGATGCTGGCTGATGGTAATATTCAGGCGCTTGCTCGCGTGGAACCTGTGTACATTCGCTAAATGACGGTTAAGTTGGGAAACGGAAGCCATTGGCCAGGCTGATGCTGGCTGATGGTATAATAATACTCAGGCGCTTGCTCGTGTGGAACCTGTACATCCTTTGAAATTTGATGTCTAAATGACGGTTAGTTGGGAAACGGAAGCCGTTGACCAGGCTGATGCTGGCTGATAGTATAATAATACTCAGGCGGTTGCTCGTGTGGAACCTGTACATCTTCTGAAATTTGATGTCTAAATGACGGTTAGTTGGGAAACGGAAGCCGTTGACCAGGCTGATGCTGGCTGATGGTATAATAATACTCAGGCGCTTGCTCGTGTGGAACCTGTACATCTTCTGAAATTTGATGTCTAAATGACGGTTAGTTGGGAGACGGAAGCCGTTGACCAGGCTGATGCTGGCTGATGGTATAATAATACTCAGGCACTTGTCGTGTGGAACCTGTACATCCTTTGAAATTTGATGTCTAAATGACGGATAAGTTGAGAAACGGAAGCCGTTGACCAGGCTGATGGTAATACTCAGGCGCTTGCTCGTGTGGAACCTGTACATCCTTTGAAATTTGATGTCTAAATGACGGTTAGTTCGGAAACGGAAGCCGTTGACCAGGCTGATGCTGGCTGATGGTAATATTCAGGCGCGCGCCTATTCGCAGGCGCTTACTCGTGTGGGGCGCTCCTCCTACTAAACATGATGGCCTTAACACTCCGGGCTACCGCGGACAGCCGCGGACAATGCTGACCGAGAGCTGCGGGGTGCTGCGGAGACGAGATGCTGGAAGTTGAACAACTTGTGAACAACCTAGGTTGCGTCGCATCACTTCTTATCCTGCTTCTTATCTGAGAGTCATCGCGCACTATTAATATGCGACGAACGGGGATGGAGGTGTCGCGTCGTGTAACGTCACGTATGTGAAGGTCGTCGTGTAAATGAGTACGAGAGAAAGGATGAGGGGGGCGTCGCGTACAGGCGGAGGAAACGGGGGATGCGCAAGATCCAAGCGTGACTGCGGATGCGAAGAAAGAAAACAAAGAAGCAAAAGGTGGCGTGGCGTGCGTCAAGTGCGTGTGTAGATGAACGGATGATCGGCAAATATATTTTAAAGCTGCTGTGCTGCCCCTTATCCTGCTTCCTATTTGAGGGTCGTCGCGACTATTAATTTGCGACGAACGGGGATGGAGGGGTGTCGCGTCGCGTAACGTCGCGACGTGAAGGTTGTCGTGTAGATGAGCATGAGAGAAAGGATGAGGGGGGCGTCACGTACGGGCGGAGGAAACGGGGGATGCGCTAGGTCCAAGCGTGAATGCGAATGCGAAAAAAGAAAACAAAGAAGCAAAAGGTGGCGTGACGTGCGTCAAGTGCGAGTGTAGATGAACGGATGATCGGCAAATATATTTTAAGGCTGCTGTGCTCGCACTGCAATGCCCCTTATCCTGCTTCTTATCTGGGGTCATTGTGTACTATTAATATGCGACGAACGGGGATGAAGGTGTCACGTCGCGTAACGTCGCGTACGTGAGGGTCGTCGTGTGAATGAGCACGAGAGAAAGGATGAGGGGGGCGTCGCGTACGGGCGGAGGAAACGGGGGATGCGCAAGATCCGCGAATGCGAAAAAAAGAAAACAAATAAGCAAAAGGTGGCGTGGCGTGGGATGCGTGGCGTGGATACGTCAAGTGCGTGTATAGATGAACGGATGAACGAAATGGGCATGTGTGCGGGTGGGATAAGGTAGGGAGGGAGGGAGGGAGTAAGAAGGAGTACGCAGCCTATGTCCACACACAGACGGCCTATGCACATACGCAGATGACGCAGCCTATGCAGGAGCATACGCAGACGGCCACGTAAAAACACACACCCGCGACTACAAACCCCCATCCTCACAGTCCCGTCCGTCGGCTCCTGCACGCGTATCTGGATCACGCTCCCGCCCTCACCCTCGCCGTCGCTGTCGTCATCATCTTGCTCGGGCGCTGTGACGAAGCACTGCACCGAGTGCCCTCGCGTGGCGCGACGCTGCGGGTGACGGCGGGAC